TACACGCGCTAGAAGGCCCGGTAGCTCAAAATTTTTGGCCCGCTGATGTATGAAGCAATTTTGTAGCATGAGAACCCCTTGGTAGAAGAAGTAGAAGAAGCCGAGCAGCAGGACCAGGAGAGCCAGCAGCACTAGGAGAAGCTGCAGCAGTACCTGCTTCTACAGAAGAAGGAGAGAAGGCAGCGTAACATGATTCTGCAGAAGAAGGAGAAGTAGTGGACTTTGCTGCTCGAGCAGGCTCTGCAAGTTTTCCGAACTCAGCCTGTGCATGTGAACAACAAGACTTGAGAGAGGCAGAGGCTGAGGTGGACCTGATGTTCCCAATGAACCTGTGAACTTCGTACATTTCCATGCTGAACTGTAAATTGACACCTGCTGTGTGGTTTGCAAGGCTTATTCATTCTCTATTTCCATATTCGGAGCCTGCTGATCAACAACAGTTGGACCAGATCCACTCAGGCCGGTGTGATTTCCATGGCATCAATTACAGGAAGCAAGATTTTTTCTTTGAGGTCTTGGTAGAACCTGGTAGAAGAGCCCAGCCCAAGGAGACAGAGAACACAACTTGCCAAGTGCATCATGAAAGCCCATGCTGTTAGGAACCAGAATGCTGACAGATACAAGTCCTTCAGCTGCAGGAAGATTATGTTGCTTGATGCACAGTGTACAGAATATGCATTGCAACGATGTCAGCTCTTCTGCATGTAGACCTTGTGGTAATGGCCACAACATGCAATGCAGCAGAAGGAGTAGAAGTAATGAAGTAGCAGGAGCAGCAGCTGCAGCAGATCAAGATTAGCCATCATCTTCATTGGGTTTCACCAACTTGCCTGGTGTATTTCTGAAGCAGATGTCGCATCCATGTCCTGATATGAACCATGTTGGGCATGTGTTACTGAACACCTGCCGTAGCAGCAGTAGCAGCATAGCAGCCTTGGTACAGAACAAAGGGTGAGCAACGCAATGTTGTACAACAGGTTTCATGTCGCATGTTTGGCTGAAAAGCCTTGGCTGAACACCCAAACCCCAAACCGGTTTGTAATTGAATGGGTAGAGCCTTGCTTTGAAGCATGGGTGTGTGAGTGTGTGTCATGTGTGGCTGAAGAGCCATGGCTGAACTGCCCAGCATGTTTGTAATAAAATGCATGCAGTCTGGAAATGGCTGAAGAGATTTGTTTGACATATTTGGATGAAAAGCCATGGCTGAAGAGGCATGCTTTGAAACATGCGTTTGACATGTCTGGATGTCACTTTGTAACTGAACGGATGTAGCACGGTCGGGCAGCCACACTTGAATTTGAAACTTATGTGTTTCACACGCGTGTTTTTGGACGGCAGGAGGCGCAATCCTCAGAAACATGTGAAATCTGTGGCTCTGCAGCCAGACAGTTATGGAATTGCGGATACACAGGAATAGGCTGCTCGGCCACCTGTGACATTTATGGTCTTGCAGTTAGACATATGAGCATTGGCTGTTCAGCCACATGTGAAATCTATGGCTCTGCAACCACACATATAAGGATTGGCTTCACATAAATATATCTATATATATAAACATATGGATGTTGCAAGTCTGTAGACATTTTGCATGAAAGCCAAGAACAATCTAACAGACCACAAGCTTCACAAACACAATGTGAATTTTGCAAGTGAAAAAATGCGAGTGAACAAAAAGGAAGGTCTGCGATTGAAAAACAAGAGTTCTGCGATTGAACACAAGAAAATCTGCGACTGATTTTGTAAGACACGGCTGCGATTAACAAACAATTTCACGTTTATTTTTTGCACAAAACCCGGCCGCCGCCGGCGATTTAAAAATCAATTGCGTTTGAACTTTTGCAATCTCAGAGCCTTTGGGTAAGAAAGGCTATTATCCAAAGCTCCGCCATCCCGCGCGTACCCACAGAGCCTCCTGATGAAGGCGCAAGTGTTGAACAAAAGTATGTCGGCGCTGCACAGCAAGCAGCGGACATCTTTGCTAAATCCCTGCTAGCACACAAGTGGGGCCATGCCATGAAGCTGTTAAGCAAAAGCCGGAAGTTGCCACCTGTTTTGGCCGACAACCTCAACTTGCAAACCGAGGTTCGCTCCGGCTTTGAGACCTCGACCCCTAATCCCTACGTCGTAGAGTGCTGCCGTGTGTGGTACCTCGTACTCAGCCTAGAAACGCGGGGGGGGTAGNNCCCACCTCCGCGGCAGCCGTTTCAGCCGTCTCCCACCCCTTCGCCTGCCTCCCACCAGGAGACTTTTTCAGAACGACAGTTTTTGGCAAATGAGAAGCTTGCCCCCCCAAAGCCCTGGAGGCCCCGGCCCCAAGCCCTCCCCAAGCCCCAGGATAACGCCTTTTTCGGCTTGTTGTACAGAGTGAAAGCATGTCACCGTTTCACCCAGCTTTACGTAGCAAGGCGTGACCATGCGAGGTGGGGGAGGAAAAACACGACCCCGGGTCCCCTTAGCCATACGACGTAGAGACCGTGTAGACGCTTAAAAAGAAAACTAAGTAGAAACCGTGGTCCAGCACAGGTGTTCCAACATGCCAGGCATGGAAGGACATTCCGAGCCCCGAATAAGTTTTACACCGGGGTAAATTCGGATTTACTTTATCATCTTTTCCTTGACTTTCTGGGTCCTGTGTCTGATGAATAAACACATCAAAATCATGCAAAATGCGCACCCCAATGGCTTGGTCCGGGGTCATGCGCATCACGGGGCCTTTTTGCAGGCGGCCCCCAAGAAGCCAGCATCATGAGCATCATGGAGCCTGTGGGACCCACATTTCTTTCTTGATATTTAAAGCGACCTCACCCGACCTCACCCTAAATGGTGGTTAATATGGGGAATAGCATACTACCCAAATGGCCTTAAATTGGGAATTGAAATTATTCGAAATTACCTTGTGCACATGTGAGGATCCAGCGCCCCTCCAAAATTCTAGATGGGTTGAGGGATCCAAGACGGAGAATCGAAGGCCCAATTGTTTTGATGATGTTGGCCCGAGAGAACCCCAAACCGTCTGTAGTGGGGAGGGCCACGACGGCACAAGAGCGTCCGGTTCAAGCCGCCGAAGCAGTCAGGCTGTCGCCACAAAAGACGAGACGGAGACGAGACGGACACGAGACGCAAAGTCGTACCAGAAATCATATAGAAAAGGCAGACGGGAAGCAATTTCACGCCAGCGTAGCCGATTCCACCAGCAGCACGTCAATCAAATTAACGATGTCTCGTTATGTTTGAAATGTCGTTGCGCCGCCTATGATTTCAGGGAACTGGCACGAGCAAAACTAGCGCCCTTTTCGCCTTCGCCGTCTGCTGACCACGCAGCGCCCCCAGAAGGTAAGCGAATTGTTTTAGAACAGAAAGTTTGACAATCATGGGTAAAAGGAGCAGAGCAATTCAAAACACATACGGGGGGGAAGTGCTCGAAGACGCGATGTTGGGTCATAGCCATCAGTCTCCTGGGGCAGCCCGTTGTTATTACCACCTCATGAACCCAAGATTTGGTTTTGAAATCATCAAACGATTTTTTCACAGCCATTAAATCCACACAAATTAATGAACGGGCCAGGGCATTCAAGCTTCAATCCCCAAACTAAATTTTGAACGCTACCCCTAAATCCTCAGCTCTGTGAACCTAAACATACAGGCATTTTTAGTTTCAGGTCTATGGTGTAAGGTTTAGGGGACATATTTGACGGATATACAAAGACGTCCAAGCCAATCTCCTCCTGTCTAAAATTATGTGGAAGGTTCCAGAAAGTGGGGGCCCTACTACATAGATCCCAAAATATTAAAATCCGAGTATCAGGACTCCTGACAAGCAACTCCGTTGGGCAGCAAGTTTTGTAGGTTTTTTGGATCAGGGTCTGGGGATTGCGATGGTATTAATTAAGGTTTCCGGACGGCAGGTTCTACACCCTAAAACCCCACACGCTACTCCCGGAACTTTAGACCTTAGCCCTGCAGGTGTTCAAACGAATCGAAGAAGATTTTCCAACTGCGGACTGGCCACATGGTTTCCGCAAGGACAGACGCTAGGGTTTGGAATTGTAGGGTTTACATAAGGTTTTAGGTTTAGGTGAATGTTTAGGGTAACACGCGTTATCATGGGTTCCCCAATACCCCCCTGCTTCCTGTTGACTTACCGACCCCCCTCATAATCCTTAAGCGATTGTCAGTGGGGGGAACCTAATCCGGCGTATCATGTGGGGGAGTGTGGGAACCCATGAAGGTAACGTGCATTGTCAAACGTGGTAGTTCCAGTTTGGGCACCCTACAAATTAGGTGTCGCCCTTTGTATGGCCTTTCGGGGTTCCTTGCGTTTTTTGCGGAGGATAGACCGTGAGCTTTGCACGTCTTAGATTAAACGGTTCCCCCGTTCCCCCGCTTCACGTATGAGCTTCGAAGAGTTCAGAAGAGACCTAACTTTAGACTTTGCTTGTCGATGCAGGAATTTGTGTACCGCTTTGTACCTGTAGAAGATTACAGTCTTCGGGAGTTACGGACCTAGGAGGTGGAAGATTAGCTCGTACTGTTGCTACATATACCCGGCAGTCCTAGCAGGACACCCATGTTGAGGAAACTCATTGTATGCAAGGATACGAGCCTCTGGTGACCTATTTTGAGTTGAGTGTTCAAACTAACGCTGAAAGGCAAGCTCTTTCTGAAAATTGCAGGCTCAAATGGAAATCAATGGACTGTGAAATCGACATTGCTTTGATACAGCAGTTCGAGGGATTGTAACTCCAAACCTATATCCAAATATGAGCTACGGCCAACTCTAAGCTAGATCAGAGTAAATGTGAGGCATGTGAGGGTGGGGATCTTTCGACAAGGGGTGTGTAAGCAAGCTGCCATGACCACGTTTACTGCTGCCAAACTGGTGTCTGCGGGTACTACTTTTACGCTTCTACAGACTACCTCTCTTGGCTGTAGGCAAAGAAAATCGCCAGTCGGCTATGACTGTCGCTGCAAATCGAAGATCCTGTGGGATTGCACAGTCAACGCTACAGTCAACGCTACCAAAAACAGCGAGAAAACCACCACTTGGCTGGAATTCACATGGCAGATATATATGAAAACAGCTTCGTCATGTGAATTTCAGCCGAGGTTTTCCCACAGTTTTGGTAGCATTGACTGTAGCGTTGACTGTGCAAAGCCACAAGAATCATGGCCAAATGGTTTTTGAGTTTGTTACGATGATTTTTTGCTAAATGTTAGGTTCCCACAGTTTGGGCAACGTTGACTTTAGCGTTGACTGAGCGTTGACTGCGTTAACCCACACGATTTAAAGTTGTCAACAAAAATCATACCCAACTGGAAGTTTCCCCACAGCTTGTGGCATCACAGGCGTTAATAGATTCTAACATTATTGGGGTTTGTTGTCCTACGACTTAGGCCCTGAACCCCAGAACCGTATATGGGATGCGGATATTGGCTTCTTAAAATGTAGACCCAGTGTCCCCTTTGACCACGTACACCGCGCAACGGAGGGTACCATTGATAGAGGGAATCTTGCACAACTTTCAGGCTCCGCTAAGAAAGAAAACGTCGCACCCCCTTTGAAGATTGGCAGTGACAAACGAACGGCCTATTGGAATATATGTTCCCAGTCCTGGGGATCCCACACCCCCCCTCCCCATGGTATGGTCCCTCCAGAACCACAGGGACCAGGGGGGGGTGATAATCACCAACACAACATAGGTATTGCAGGGGGCGCCACAGGGTCCACATGGGATGGGGGACCATACCATGGGGGGTGGGAGGTGGGAAGGGGGGGGGGTAGCAACCCTGGATCACATACGACCTAGATCTTGCACCACCTCCATTTGTTGTAGCCCCAATGTTAAAAAGAGGTGCGGAGTTTGTATGGTTCATGGTATTATGTGTCAGCCTAGGGGTGGTGCAAGGTTTCCTCCATCCACCGTATATAAGCCCATAGTAATCGCCACACACACCCAATATAGTCTCCAATATAATCTATCTGATGTTTAGATTCCTTTGAGGTTCGGGTGATCATATAGGGTTTGAGGTTCCATGTGGCAGTCATTGGCTTATACGGATTGCATTCATTAACACGGTCCTTCTCAGCAAGCCTAACTACATTATGCTTAGTGCAAAGACGCACCCACAGTTTCGGAGGATCGCCCACGTGACATGACGTCCTTGTGGCACTGCACACTCCGAGTAAATGCTGACAGTTCAATGTGTTTCGGTAGGGCTCATGTCGCCATTTTTTGCACCCAATTAGGGTTCCCCTGTACAACCATCGAACCACGTCGATCTTATGAAGAAGGAACCCAAACACAAACCCAGAACCCCTCAATTACTAGGAAATCCTGCAGGATTGGAGGGAAAATGCCTTGGTTCTGAATCTTGGATCGCAGTTAGGCACATATGGAAGTTTCTCAAGCCAGCTCCCAGACGGCGTGGACTTGGAACTCCTAAAGCCCGAGAACACATATCCGTCTGACGTTGTTGCATGTGCTCCATGTTGGAGAGGCCACCAAGTTCTTCAAGTTTCAGTGTGTTTGTGTTTCTGTGTTGTTGCTGGTGTAATTCTGATGCTGCAAGCAGCTGCTGTACGCTAGGTAGGGGAAAGCCCAGCCCATGAGCACTAGCGCTGGATAACAATCCTGTTTGGGGCAAAGGTAGTCTGGGCTTCTTATTCTTTCAGCCGCTTGCGCAGGAGCAGGTAACGTGCTTTTTCCGAAAGCACCGCGAAGGGTTCCTCGTCAAAACACAGTTGCCTTGCACACACCACAGCACCTACACCACTGACATACGCTCACATACACCGCAGCGCAGCACCTACACCGCTCCTACACCACACCACAGCACCTACACCTCTGACATACACCACGTACAAGTTTCTATTCTATTTTCTCCTATTTCTAATCCCGGGGTAGGTTTGGCGGGGGTAGGCGGATGCACGCTTCTGCGGGTTTCGTGCGTGTCGGAGCGCT